AAAAAAAAAATGATGCAACCATATTAATGAATGTATAATAATCAAACGATTTTAGTGAATTAATAATACTATTGCCTGTTATTTATGCAGAAATCATTAAATTACCTAATACTTTTTAAGTTTGGCAGAGGTGGTGTAGTGGCAAGTGGCTCAATATCTCACACGCATGGTCGCGGTTGTGAATCCCAGATAGGTATCCGGCTAGGCCAACCAAGCCCTCCATCCCTCCAGGGTCGGTTAATTGGTACCAGACTCGTCTGGGAGGATAAAAGCATTGACTTGTACATCGGCTGGCCATCGCGAGTCATTGTATAGGCCACATACGCATTCAATACGCTGCGACGATTCTGAATGGAAGTCGAATGCGTGGGCGCATCCCTCAGACGGGATTGATTAACGCCAAAATCTTTATCCTTTATCCTTTCTAACTTTACTGATGATGCTTACTTTCTTGATTTTTTTTTAAATTATTCAAGTTTACAAGCTACCTTAATTAGATTTCAATACGGAACGTTCGTGAAGTACAGCCAGCAATCCATAATTCGCCACCATATCCTCTCGCCCGGTGTTGGAAACGAGGTCTTTGAGTGAAAATGCTAGTTTTCCAGCTTAGAAAATGAAAATTTTTAAAAAAGTGGATTTCACGGAGGCATGAAATTGCAATCAACTCAATCCGCCTGTGAATTAACCTGAATGAGGTAGGAAAAGGACAGCAAACTCGGTAAGAAAAAGAGTCGCTCATCAGTTTGTTTTACATATATCTCGTGAATAACCTTTTTTCGGGGAGGTGTTCACAGACAATATCACATCAACTTCATCAAGATCGATCAAAGCGATATCGAAATTCATGACAGGAGGTAGTCTGAGATGGTACACAACATATGAATGACAGACATGAAATATGACATATCCGAGTACTTTGTTAGTAATCCTATGTCAAATAATCGAATATAAAGAAGATAATGCTTTCAATAATAAAGAACAGAATTATCAGATCTCAGATCTATCATAAAACTATTAAAACGGCCTATTCACACAGTGAAGAATGATGATCTCAGTTAGAAATTTGCTTCTCTCTCGCTACTCTCCGTCATCCTTATGCGACTGTAGGGGTAATTCGGTGATATGGCTGATTTCCCGTTGTTTCCTATGGATTCTCTGAAAAAGAAAGGACAATCAAGATAATGTTACAAACCATACAGTCTTGCTGCATCATCAACCAAGCGGATCACGCTGTACAAAAGAAAAACCGAGTTCAGACATAAGTAGTGCAAATAAGCACACCAAAATAATCAAATTCCATTCAAGTGAAGAGCCCCAAAGTTCATTGAACACTAGACTCCACTTAATCTTACCCAACCCATCGTTCCTACAATAAATGGTTACGTTACCTCGTTCCTGGACAGAGTCCAGCAAACACAGGCTAGCAGGAACAAAGACGATAACCATCCAAAATTCAGCGTTCCGCAAATATTAGGTAGTTGGGCGTTCGACAATGGGCATTTAATCAATAAATGTACCCTTTAGAAGGCTAAAATTAAGAAGTGCGCCAGCGTTTTAGGGGCTTTCCTTCTGAGTTTTAAATCGCATTTCTTCAACTCTTGATTTTTCAGTTCGTATGCAATCTTATTCTTTAGACATATTTCCTATGTCTTAAATTAACGAAATTGCTCTTCATTTTCTAGTGCTACTTACTCAACCGCGATCAGGGCAAATCACGAAAGATGCTTTTTAGAAATTGATACATTGAATTTTGGCTTCGCTCTTGCCTTGCAATGTGATGCGCGCCACATTTCGCAGCGCGACCTCATGATCTCGTCGATAGAATCGCAAGTTCTCCATTCAAAACGAACAGGTTCTCCAACAGTTGGAGAAAAAAACGAACCAAATGGCTCCTCAATGACAAGCGTCGGTTGCAAACGAGTCAGCCGTTTCTCCAGCGGGATCTCGGAACTTTAACACTGCAAATAGCCAGTGACCAAAACCAGCTCCCAAAATAACGGCGATCGCTGGAACGAACAAATTTAAGCCCTGCCGCATTCAATCATCAATCAAACACACTAAAAAACAGTTGAACACAAAGTTTCTAAAAAAAGACAAAAATCAGTAGTTAAAGACGAGAGAAGGTCTTGAATCAAACACAAATGAATTGGTGGCATTGTCAAACAGTCTTCCCTCTTCAGCCTTGACCAGTTTGCATAACAAATAACAACGAATGGGCAATAAAGTTGGAGCAAACTAGAAAAGCAACAAAGCTCTTACTCAGCCACGTATTGTAGGTCATGACAATCAGCATGAGCCAGTAGGCAAGCACAAGTTGCACCACATAAAGGGCTGCTTGTACAAGTCGTATCGTAGAGCATGCAGCCGAAGGAGAAAATGGGCTAGAAAAATAAGATTATTCTTCTTATGTATACAGGCTTCAGTGGAATGTTATAGAAAAACAAACGAAAAGAAATCATTCCTGGCTAATCATCCCTCCCTGCCTTTTCATGTAAACAATCAAAAAATCTGAAGAAGTCCTAGCTGTAGTATTAGACCTAGGAAAGGTCTGGTAAGGAAAGTTTTGTTAACCAAAAATATTGACTGGTAAAAAATACTGATCGGACAGAAGTCCTCAGCTCCTACAGGAAAATCCTCTAAATCACTCAGAAAAAATGTTTCAATATCATTTACATACAGGCTAAAACACAAAGCGTATTTAACGACCGATTCCCACTACCTTCTATCACCATCATCCAGAATTTTCAGAGTACACTTCAGAAGTTGGAGAAGCAAACTGCGAAAAATATTCAAACACCCCCGTTAGCTCTCATATTTTAAAACATGACCATTATTCGAAAAAGCGTTGTTCGCATATTTGGACTCATCATAGCAACCTAATCGCTGTGGCTGTCCGCCGGGGTGACCAAGGCACAATCGATCGCTCAAAAGACCCAAATTGTAGGTGTAGGAACCAGCCATGAGAATTTCAAAAATATCGATGTCGGTCGAGCACTCTAGGGATTAACTGTATGGAGAAAACTCTGATAGAGCAACTGTTAATAACAATCAAATTTTGTAGGACTGGGGTGATAAGACAAGATCCGAAATTGGGCAGTGATAGTCCCATTGGTACTGGAATGCCTAGACTCTTGAAAAACCCTATACCAAATTGTGAATAATGTTTTCAATGAGACCGGCCAGTACTCAGTCGAAACTCAATGAGATATGATTGAAGAAGTCTCCTTCCCCTCCCCGTCCCGCTCCCCCATTAGAAGCCCTACAACGGCTTGGGTCTCGTATCTTCTCCCCGAACGGAGTGTCGCGCTCGCCGAAGGATATGGGAAATCAGAGAAAAGTTCTGGTCCCTCAACTGCTCTAATTGCTCACAGAAAAACATTTTTGATACAAAACATAGCCATCAGGTCCACAACAAAACCTACAACTTGGACAACAAATACCCAAAAATTACAACATCATTGAATACATACCTTTCGTTACGGTCACGAGATCCTTTTGCCCCAGTTGGGGGTGTTGTGGTTGGATTGTAAACATCTTCATGTGAGTTACTTCGGCAAACATCGTTATTGAGCGGAGCCTAGAAGAGAAAAAAGTTGTTTGTTTGTTAGTGTTCGACGATGAGCAACATTACACCTTGTCTTGATGATTCACGTATTGTAATCGGACGCTCTTTTCCTGCCTGCACATCTCTCTCGTAGCATTCATCTGTAGGTACACACGAAACCACTTAATACCTTCATACATCGCTCCCATGATGAATATACAAATAAATGACAAAATAAGTCCTAAATTGAATGAATGAATAAGGTTCCTAAACAAAGATGAAGGTTCAACAAATAATTGAAATACAAAGGTGTAAACGGAAACCAAATAAACTCACCAAGTGCCGAGTCTATACGCCAGAAATCGAATAAAATAACTTCGGTCCATCCTCCATGAAACCACATCTTCATCATATGCCCACCATGGTCACCACCGCCACCATGGCCACCGGCATGATGACCATGCATTGAATGGTCATGGTGTCCTGAAATATCCTAGAGATTTGAGTGAAAGGAATAGTACTGTAGAACATACAGTTCCCTTCGAAGCCTTTCTTTCTGAATAAGAATTACTTTCTAAAAAGGCGATTAGTAATGGCAGGTCATTCTATTATGGTTTCCCTTACCCTAATTATTTTAATTTAAACCCTTGAAATATATTTACACTACTGTGGAAGAGTGCGATCAATTGCACCTCACCATTGGATGGTTTTTTAATGTTTTAAATAAGGTTAGAAGTCTTTATTGAAACCCTGATAAACGTACTTTTATTAATTTTTCATCATTGTCTCCTAAGAGCATATTCGGAGGATCTGGAGGGCAATGCTTACGGCCTTGGAAGCTGATCCATTTCCCTTCAGCCTCCTTTTATATGGTTTAAGTACCCCATTACTTCATAAACGAAGACCTTTTCTTCGAACTATTGTCACAAAAACCTAAAATGTCATTTAAGGTTCAGGAAATGAGTTCGAACAATGAGCAACAGAGGGAAAGTTCCCGTTATTTCCACGCCCCTTGCCGAACGGTAAGCAGTCAGAATGTAGCGAAGTCGAGAAGTTTACCATGAGCACATGTGAAAATGTCAACGTCGCGGAAAATAAGGATGTCTTCCGTGGAAAAAAAGAGAGCCTACAGGTGTTTTCTCAGGGTAGCAGAAATGATTATATTCACAACAGCATATGTATCGATTGGAATTCATCGGAGACAAGCGTGGAAATAATTCCATTAAAAGCATAAAGACAATGGAGAATAGCAAATAAACTGAGTTCAAAAAATTGATTATATAAACCATGCAGACGTTTCGCTTGGTCAAGTAACTGGAAGCTGAGGTGCATACTAAAGCTTTCTGTGGAGCACTACCCAAACTATGAGGTTGTTGTAGGACTGCCGTGGACATTGGAATAACAGTCCGATTGCAATCGATCATTTGGGACGAAATATTTATCTCTCCAACTCATGTTTTTAGAGGAAAGCCAAAACATACCCTGCTATAGCCGTCATTCTCATACCCATGGATGAAGTCTATTGGTAGAAGTATATTGAAAACTCAAAAACAGAACAATCAGCGGAGCTAGCTATTGTCTTTTTGAGCAAGATTTGCTCAGGTGCCATAAAACAACGCCAAACATAAGGGTAACCAAAACGTAAACAATATGGCAGCCAGAGCTGGTAAAGGTTATTTCTGCTAATAGGAAACGAGATGATTTAATAGTTTCAAGAAGGACATCAACCTCAACCTTGGCATAGATCCAAACAATGTTCCAACCAACTATAGTGCTGCGGCATCAGTATTCTCATTGCGTTATTTTTTCATAGCGGGAAAAATAGTTAGGATTCTTCTCACAGCTCCCGTCAAAAATCATTACATATAGAAAAAATAATGAATAAAAGCTCAGACTCGTCTGCTCCCTTCTTTTTTCCACAGTTTTCCTGGAATCAATGCATTACCGCCGCTCAAGGACAATAGGACCAGTCGGAGGATGTTAGTGCGTGGCTAGACGTAAAAAGAATTAGGCCAAACTCCTCGTAAAGAGTCAGTGACAAATTTTGTTCCTAGAAATGGCTCGAGAAAGGCGAGGAGGCTCGAGAAACAGAAATACCCTGATGAAGAACCTAATGAGCTTCACGAGGCTATGAGGAACGATGCCCCCCCCCCCTCTCTCAAAAAAAAAAATCCAAAAAAGGCAGGCAAAAATACTATTGTGTACTGTAGCTAGCAAAGTCTAATAGGACTAAATAGCGAGAAGCTTCAACTACTCATAAACAAAACCGGTTTATCATTCCACTTTCAAAAGA